ATGTGAGTCCCTCCTTGTGAGGTGGGGCCGTGGGGTTCAGATGGGCTTGTTGCTTACGTACCTGGCTCCCTGCCGCGTGGCAACAGCCCTACCTGAGCTACTCGACGTGATAGCCACGGTGGCAGTAGATACACCCAGGCTTTTAGTCATGGGTGATTTCAACTTGCCATCTGTTGGTGAAACGTCTGAGGTGGCTCGGGAGTTCATGGCTTCCATGACGGCCATGGACCTGATCCAGTTAGTTCATGGCCCTACTCACAGGGGAGGTCACACTCTGGACCTGATTTTTGTCTCTGGCCAGTGGTTGAGTGGTCTTGTTATTGGGGATATAGACATGGAACCCTTGTCATGGACAGACCACTCACTCCTTCACCTAGATCTTCGAACCGCTGCCCCCCGCCGCAGGGAGGCGGATCCAATTAGATGGATCCGCCCCAGGCGCCTGATGGATCCTGAGAGGTTCCAGATGGAACTTGGGCCATTTCCTGAGGTTTTAGCACATGACTCGGCTGAGGACCTGGTAGCCGCCTTGGATCGAGCGGCTGGTGGGGCCTTGGACCGAGTCGTGCCTTTGCGGCCTCTGACCCGGTGCCGATCCCGTGCGGCTCCTTGGTTTACCGAGGAGCTGAGGGAAATGAAGCGCCAGAAAAGATGCCTGGAGAGCGGTTGGAGGGCCAGTCTCGCTGAATCTGATCGAACACTGGTAAGGTCGCATATTAAGACCTACCTAGTGGCGATAAAGACAGCAAAGTTTAATTACTTTTCCGCCTCTATTGTGTCATCAGGGAATCGTCCGGCCACCCTGTTTAGGGTGACCCACTCCCTGCTCCATCCTGGAGTGCGGGAGGATCCCTTGGAAGGCAGGGCGGAGGATTTTGGACAATACTTGTATGACAAAATCGCTCAGATCCGGGGGGATTTGGACTCTGACTGGGTAGATCAGGGCAGAGTGATGAGGAATAGTCTTGAGAATGTTATCTGGGAGGAGTTTGACGCTGTGACTCCCGATGATGTGGACAGGATTTTGGGGAGACTTAGTGCGGCCACATGTTTACTGGACCCGTGTCCCTCCTGGTTGGTACTGGCTTCCCGGGAGGTTACACGAGGCTGGCTCCAGGGTGTTATCAACGCTTTGCTGAGTGAGGGCCACTTCCCCACTGCCTTGAAGGAGGCGGTGGTGAGGCCTCTCCTCAAGAAGCCGTCCCTGGATCCGGCAATATTGGCCAACTACTGTCCTGTCTCCAACCTTCGCTTCATGGCAAAGGTTGTGGAGAGTGTGGTCGCGCAACAGTTCCCACAATTCCTGGAGGAAACATCTTATCTAGATCCATTCCAGTCAGGTTTCAGGTCTGGGCACAGCACGGAAATGGCATTGGTCGCGTTGGTTGATGATCTCTGGAGGGCTCGGGACAGGGGTTGCTCCTCTGTTCTGGTCCTGTTAGATGTCTCAGCGGCTTTTGATACCATCGACCATGGTATCATGCTGCACCGGCTAGAAGAGTTGGGGGTGGGAGGCACTCCTCCTTTCTCTCTGACCGGTCGCAGTTTGTGTTGGCAGGGGGGCAAAGGTCGACCTCGAGGCCTCTCATCTGTGGAGTGCCGCAGGGATCTGTCCTCTCGCCCCTTCTGTTCAACATTTATGTAAAGCCGCTGGGCGAGATCATCTGTGGCTTCGGGGTGAGATACCACCAGTACGCTGATGACACCCGGCTGTACATCTCCACCCCAGGCCACCCCAATGATGCTCTTGAAGTGATGTCCAGTCCCTGGAGGCTGTGCAGATCTGGATGGGGAGGAACAGGCTCAAGCGCAACCCTTCCAAGACTGAGTGGCTGTGGCTCCCGGCATCCCGAAATAGTCAGTTGACTCCATCACTGACTATTGGGAGCGAGTCTTTGGCCCCCACAGAAAGGGCTCACAATCTGGGAGTCCTCCTGGATATGCAGCTGTCCTTGGAGGAACATCTGACAGCTGTAACCAGGGGGACCTTTTGTCAGGTTCGCCTGATTCGTCAGTTGTGGCCCTTTCTTGATCGGGATTCCCTGTGCACAGTCACTCATGCCCTCGTCACCTCTCGCCTTGACTACTGCAATGCTCTCTACATGGGGCTCCCCTTGAAGAGCACCCGGAGGCTCCAACTGGTCCAGAATGCAGCAGCGCGGGTAGTGACGGGAGCAGCATGGTGCTCCCATGTAACACCGCTCCTGTGCGAGCTGCACTGGCTCCCAGTGGTCTTCCGGGTGTGCTTCAAGGTGCTGGTTATCACCTTTAAAGCGCTCCATGGCATCGGGCCTAGCTATCTTCGAGACCGCCTGCTGCTACCGACGACCTCCCATCGTCCCGTGCGCTCCCACAGAGAGGGCCTCCTCAGGGTGCCATCAGCCAATCAATGTAGGCTGGTGACCCCCAGGGGGAGGGCCTTCTCTGTGGGGGCACCTACCCTCTGGAATCAGTTGCCCCCAGAGATAAGGAGAATCCAAGACCTTCGTGCCTTCCGCCGTGCCCTTAAAACCCACTTTTTCCAGCAAGCTGGGCTGGCTTAAGAAGAAATTTTAAATGTTTTAATTGGTTTGTATTTTTAATTTTGGGCCAAATTTATATATATTTTAATTGTTTTTTAATATTTGTATTTTATGTTTTTAATTCTGGCTGTACACCGCCCTGAGTCCTCAGGGAGAAGGGCAGTATATAAATTTAAAATAAATAAATAAAATAAAAATAAAATATTATGAAGTTTTAAATTTAATTTTAAATTTAAATTTAATTCCACACCTCTATCATCATTTTTTCTTTCTTATTTGATGCTTCCTGATTGGAAAAAACTGTGGGAAACTTATTGTGGCATTGCTGGTTTCTGACTAGAGAAGGATTAGACAGAGAGGTTCCAAACTATTGAAGAGATCACTGACTCATGAAAGGCAGAACCCAAGATAGCAATAGCACTTACACTTATATACCACTTCATAGTGCTTTACAGGCCTCTCTAAGTGGTTTACAGAGTCAGCATATTGCCCCCAACAATTTTGAGTCCTCATTTCACCCACCTCAGAAGGATGGAAGGCTGAGTCAACTTGAGCCTGGTGAGATTTGAACTGCCAAATTGCAGGCAGCTGGCATTCAGCAGAAGTAGCCTGCAATACTGTACTCTAACCACTGAGCCACCATGGCTCAAGATCCCTGATTTCTGGTTTTTAATTATACTTTAATTATAGATACTAAGTAAATATATATTATTATTTCAAAAGAGCCTTGGTGGTGTAGCGGACTAAAATGCTGTTAAGTAGCACTTAGCTGCCAGCTGCCTGCAATTACTGTGAGTTCAAATCTCACCAGGCTCAAGGTTGACTCAGCCTTCCATCCTTCCGAGGTAGGTAAAATGAGGACCCGCATTGTGGGGGCAATAAGATGACTTTGTATAAAAAGAACACCGCTTAGGGGCCCCCGAAAGCCCTACTAAGCAGGTATATACAAAAGTCTGAAGGCTATTGCTTAATGCATTGTAAGCCGCCCTGAGTCTCTGGAGAAGGGTGGCATATAAATCGAACCAATAAATAAATAAATAAATAAATAAATAAATAAATAAATAAATAAATAAATAAATAATAAGCAAGCTGCTTAGAGCCAGTTTGGGATAATAGTTAAAGGGACTTGGCTAGAATCTGGCACCCAGTGAGTTCTGGTACTGTTGGCATGAGGCCAACTGGCACCAGTCACTTTTTCTCAGCCCTAGGAAGATAGTAATGACAAATGCTTCCCATAAAGTATTGTTAAGGAAACTGAATTTTTCTATCCAGTTGCTAAAAGTCAAGACCTACTCAAAAGTGTAAGCACATTCAAAACTCTATTTGCTACTGTTTTGGTCCCAAACATTTCACCAAAATTTCTTTCTCCTTTGAGTATCTTTGTTTCAGTTTTCATGGTCATGGTGAGTAGTTAAATTACACCTGGATGTTTAAATGCAGCGTTCTTGTGACCCTTTCTGAAAATGTGGTTCCAAAGGAAATTAGTTAGGGAGCAGAACACAATAGAAACTTTCAGGCAACTTTGGTAACAGTCCAGGGATTTGGGGAGTTCTTTTTCCAACAGATTTGACAAGGATCAGTTTAGGGAAGGCTGTTCTGTCCTGAGACGCAGTGAAGGATTAATAGAACTCTGTTTTCTTATTGTGAAATGAACTGTAGAAATCATTCTACTTCTCCAATATATTCTGATCTTTGGGGGCATAGAATGCCCATTCCACTCTCAATCAAAATTAATCAGAGAATTTACATGTGATTCTGCCTCATTTACATGCCTTATTATTTTTACACAGATTGCCTAGGGGAGATGCTAAAAAGAATACAATTCCTGCTGTTTTGATAGTCACTATAAGGAAAATAATAAGCAATTAATATATTAAGATATATTAAGATACGGCAAAGAGAGTTTTAACTAGATAGACAACAAATCTTGCATATTTTTTTGAAATTTCCCCTTATTTCTAGCCTGATTTATCCTTATTTCTAGGTTGTCTATAATCAAGTACCCTTTAAGAGAGTGAATGCAGGAAGCACAGAACCTGGAGATGTCTGCCTTAAGATGAGCCATTGTAGCGCAGTGGTTAGAATGCAGTACTGCAGGCTACTTCTTCTGACTGCCGGTTACCTGCAGTTTGGCAGATTGAATCTCATGAGGCTCAAGGTTGACTCAGCCTTCCATCCTTCTGAGGTCAGTAAAATGAGGACCCAGATTGTTGGGGGCAATATGCTGACACACTGTATACTGCTTGGGAGGGCTGTAAAGCACCGTGAAGCAGTATGTAAGTCTAAGTGCTATTGCTATTGCTACTTCCGCATCTGGAGTAGCTACTACTATTACTATCTAAATGTTTATCAACAATTTATCAGACCGTCTGATATCAGGCATCTTAGCCCTAGGACAAGCATTTAACCTGGTCAAATCTACTGTGTGCTACATAACAAAAATGCTAATCAAATACACAGACTTATGATGCATTCTACCTCTTTTCGTGCCATGATAACCACCATAATTAGAAATCCAGCTGTAGAAAAGATGGAGAAAATGTTTTCACTGCACATAGAATGTGAACCAAGAAAGAAATCATATCTGGGTAATGCAATACTAAAGAATAAGGGTTCTAAAACATATGGTCACTTTTGTCAGTGTATTTATAAAATCGGATACCATATTCTGCAAACCCTTTTTCCACTGGTTTCATCTCTTGTTTTATGCAAATTTGTTTATGCAAGATGGGGGTGGGTGGAGAATGTAAAGCATAAAGTGAGGGAATCCTGAATTAAAAAGAAAAGGCTTACATTGAAATTAAAAGGAAGGCATGGAATAATTTATTTGATAACAGGATTATTTATTTGCATGTTTAGTTGAATAAATTGACTATTTGTACCAGGGGTGTCAAATTCAAGGGCTGCAGGCTGGATTTGTCCCATGGGGTGCTTAAATCTGGCCTGCAGGGCTGGCCTGGAAATAGCAAAGGACTGGCCTGCAGTGACTCTGGCAGCCAAAATCGGATGGGACCACACGAGGCCACTCCGCACCCCATTTTCAGCTTGGACAGCCTCCTGCAGCCCCCTGATGGCCAAAACAGGGCACGAGGGAGGCACATGCATGCCCCCCCATGCCCCGTTTTGCCTGGCAGGGTGCTGCAAGAGGCTGTCTAGGCCAAATATGAGGCACAGGGGGCTGCACACAGTTCCCCATGCCTCATTTTGGCCTGCAGGGTGCTGCAGGAGGCTGCCCAGGCCAAAAATGGGGCACGATGAGGCCACGCACAGTGCCCCCGTGTCCTGTTTTGGCTGGCAGGTTGCTGCAGGAGGCCCGCCGTCCCGTCTCCCCCCCTGCAGGCCCATGGAGGAGAACTACAATGCTGATCCAGGCCTCAAAGAAATCTAGTTTGACACCCCTGCCAGAGGGTATATGCTTTTTTGGGGTGGAGGAGGACTGGAGCCTGAATGACAAAAGGTATTAAAGTTCATAGACATATGTGGGAGGATAGGAGAATAAGAAAGGGGAATGATGACATGTTTTGTGAGACACAAATCTTGCCATTTTAATGTGATGACATCATAACCAAACATGTAAGGGGCAGAGCTTATGTCACTCACATCACACTCATTTCGTCATCCTCACATCACATTCATTTCTCTCATATTCTCTGGATGCCTCTGTTTCCTATATACATGTTCAGGAAATAAGAATTAAGTACATTTTTATTAAATGCTAAGAGCAGCTTATAATGTTAAAATGTTTCTTTGGGTTTAACGACATTGCTAATTTATTTGTAGCAATTATGGTTCTATTATGTTTGGCCACTAAGCCAACATCAATTTGTATGTCAATCCTTTTAGTGAAGGTTTGGCAATATTTTCAGGTGCTGCAAAACATCAAATCCAATTGCTTAAATGCACAGTAAAGGAATAGCCAAAACATTGATAGCTCGATATTCCCCCTCCCCCAAATCTTATAAAATTTTACAACCAGCACTGAAGCTTCATAAGATTTGTATCAGGTATCAGTCATTGGTTAAATTGATGAAATCCTATAGGATGCTGCACATTATAAGGGGCTTACAGGTTGTGCTGCTGACTCTGCAGTTGATAAATTTTATAACTGTGTTTGTGTGTCACTCGATTTATACCCGAAATATATTATTTTGTTTGGAGAGTTAGGAAAAAAAGTTGCTAACCTGATCCCTTCAGGATATATACAGAAGAAATTGCTACAAAACATATAAGGCTCATACAATAAGAGAAAATAGGGAACAGAAATGTGCAACTTCCATAAATTATCTACAAGATATAACTCTAGACAATGAATGTACTATACATAAAAGACTGTAAAGTATTTTCCCAAAATAATATTTGACACTCTTTGAGGCATTGCCCAATATTTATAAAAATGGCTTACTGTTCTTCTAAATTTGCATATTTCTCTCTCCAAATCTTTATGCAGAGTTTGTTCTATTGTTATTTATTTATGTTTCATTCTGTTGCTTCTCATGAATTTGATCAGAGAAAGTTTTGTAATATAACAACTATTAGACTTCTTTTCCTCTGGAAAATGAGAAAAGAGAGCCTTTTGCAGAAACTAAAGCACAGTGCTCCTAGTACAGGAGAAATAAGAAAACAAATGGGGAATTATTGGGGTGGGGGTGGGGAATAATTTCATCCTTATCACCTAGGTGAGTCACAGAACATTTCAACCATAAAATGTTCCCTTTGCTTTTAAAATGTGAAGGTTTGTGTTTTCATGCATATGTTTGAGTCATCTAAAGTCTTTTCTATTTCTATCGGGAGTGACACTACCAAAATAAATGAGTGGAAGAAGAAACATGACTGTTTTGGAGATGCAATTTAAAAATATAATGAAGGCTTACCTATTTGGGGCTCCAAAAGTGTGTGCGTGTACACACACACACACACACAAACACACACACACACACACAGAGTGTGGTCACATCCCCATGCTCTGCTGAAATGTAGCACAAAGCTGGATTGCTAACAGGACATGTCCCTAAGATACCCCCAGCCTACTACTAAGACAGCATACATTTGAATGTATTTATTTTTTTCATTTTTTTTTCATTTTCATTTTTTTCATTCATTTATTTGGTTTGTCAAACATGGACGAGATAACAGGTGTAATATAAACATGGACATGAGCACAGGTAATGAGTACAAGTAAATGGGACAGTGGGACAGGGACTGTAGGCACGCTGGCCCCTTATGGACCTTTTAGGAATATTTAGAAGTATTTTCCCTTATCCTCCCCTTCCCCAAACAGGTCTTTCTTAATGATGCCTCCTTGATGATGCTGGTGATGATATGCTCATCTCTTATTGGCCACTTGAGGCTGCTCCAGTAGTCAATTCAATTTCAATTCAATTTTTATTATTACAGTCTTAGACCAGAAACAAATAAAAACACTCAGTATATATACACTTAAGACTTCTAGTTTAAAATAATAAATGACAGCTAAATCTATAATAAAATCCAGTGTCCATTTTACATGGTCTGACTATACAATTATTGCACTCCCTAAACTGTGTGGCCCATTGTGGGTTCAATGCTAAAAGGGGAATGGCTAAGCAGTGCAAGGATTAGCCACTGTTGTTATATACATTGCTATGGTGAAGAAGACGCGTATTTGCGATGAATCCCTAGTGCTGCTACGCAGAATCTGGCCACCTGTGCTGTAGTTTTGGCCTGTTCATCCTTAAGCAGCCACTGAAGATAGGTAGTGTCAGCGCGGTCAGGATACCTTGCAGTTGTTGGCAGAATATGTTTTTTCCTAATATCCATATAAAAGGAACATCTAAGGAGCATGTGTCCCACAATTCCCACTTCTCCTGAGCCGCAGGGACAGACTCCTTCCGTGAATGGTATTCTTTTATACTTGCCATACAGAACGGCCAATGGAAGTGCATGGCACTGTGCAGGTGCAAATGCTTTTTGGTAGCTTGCTGATTCCAACTAACTAAGATCGCTGGCAGGAGCAATAACACATCTAATGGCATCTGGAGCCAGAAACAGCAGAGCTTTCCCTAAATTCGTCTGCCTCTCGATGTCCTCCACCCTTTGTCGCAAAGTTTGTCTTGCTTGATCATAGTCAATCTCAAATATTAAAGCTGGGGAGAAACCTAATTTGGCAAGGTTGGACTCGACAGCCTTGATCCATGATGAAGAGAATTTGTCTTGGAGGATTAACAGAGCAAGACCTTGCGGAAAGAAGTTAAGCTTTAGCCAGAGATTTAAAGACGCTATACAGATTCTTGCTTCGACTTTTATCAATCCTGTCTCTAGGCGCAGAAGTGCATTTGAGACACAATGTGGCATCTGAAGTCTTGATCTAATGAATTTGGATTGAACTATTTCTAATGATGTAAAACATGAAGCTGACGGTCCGAGCAAGGTCCCATAAAGGAGCTGAGCTAGCGACTTGGCCACAAAAAGCTTAATAGCAGCTGGGACGTAGTATGCTCCCTTTGTGTGGAAAAAATTAAGAATGGTGCTCGTTGATCTTTGGCCCAAGGCCGCTGCATATTCTCCATGTACTTTTCTTGAACCGTTGGCCTGAATGATCAAGGGGTTGCCATAAAGGTTGCCATAATAGGTCAATGTATTCTCCAAAGCACCTGAAGGCAGGACAAGAAGCAAAGGATGGAAACTAATCAAGGAGAAGAACCTACAACTAAGGAAAAGTTTCCTAATAGAACGATTAATCAGTAGAACAATTTGCCTCCAGAAGTTGTGGGTGCTCCAACACTTGTGGTATTTAAGAAGAGATTGGACAACCATTTTTCTGAAATGGTATAAGGTTTCCTGTTTGTGAGTTGGACTAGAAGACCTCCAAGGTCTCTTCCAACTCTGTTATTCTGTTATTTCATTCAATTTACTTCTGAATAGGCATGCAAACAATTACCTGATTCGTGTGAGAAGGAAAGTTACACTTCTGCATCCGGAACATGTTTCTATTGTTAAAGCCCATTCTCTATGGATTTTAAAGGAGCTTATTTTTATTTGGAAGCCAGGCCTCGCAGGAGTATTAGGAAGAGAGGGTAAAGTCTTTTTAACACAGAATAAACATGACCCAAACAGAAAATTAAGTTTAGAATTAGCATTTTTTTTTTTTTTTTTTGCCAAATGTTATTTTGAGATTGGGCTATTCTGGGAATAGTTTTCAATCCAGGCCACTCCTTTTACTTAAAATCAGTCAAATTACAATAAATACAATAAAATATAAGAAATAACAAAAAATAAAAAATAAAAATTACAATATATGAAGTAGGTCAACGTATCTGATATTTTTGTACTGCTTTTTTTTTGGCTTCCTTGAGCAGGGAAGTTGCTACTTCACATAATATTTTATGCACATGATTTTGTGCATGACATTTTTTAGGATTGTTCATAAGCAAAGGATAATGTTATATGTGAATATATACAAGTATAATTTCCTTGTTACACACACCACACTGAAATTCTTGCTATAAATAAATAGAAATTGTAATTCATGGGATGTTATTAACA